GCTCAGCGGGAGAGCACCCACCTAGAGTATGGGCGTCCCGGGTTCGATCCCCGGTCACGACACTTTTGATTCCTTTAGTGAACAAGAGTCCCGAAGTCTCAAAGAGCTCTATGGTCCTGAAGCTGGTGATGAACCTTCCTGGATGCAAGAATGTCACTCTCCTACAGCTGCTAACGAGATTAGCCGAGCAATATATCAACAATGCAAAAAGTTCCGTCTATTCTCGATGTCAGACTCCAGCATGGACGAAGAAAAGGAAATTGAGCTGGTTCATGAAAAGGAAGTTGAAAGAGTTATAGAGCGCCCTCAGCCCGCAACCGCTGCACCACATTCTATCCACAAAAAGGTTAAGAAATTTGTTCAGACCGGGAACTTTCCTCAAAATTCTGGCATCTTTTGTAGAGTCAACGATGCTTTGCTACATACATCGATCCCGATCCCTCAAGGCCTTCAAATTGCCTTTACGGATCTCCGCCTTACTCAGGATTTTTGTCGAACAATCACAACGTCTTCATCCACATCTTCATCGTTGACATTGTTCAATGGGGAGATGGACCACTATATTCGACCCGTCGAATGGCTTGTGATCCCTAACAAGTCCCACCCGGCTTGTGTTGTAGTATTCAGCCCTTTTGAGGTGAACGAACTTTTCAACGAGATTAGATCTTCGGGTAACGTTCGTCTATACGTCTTTGCTGCCCGTAACACCGTCTCGATGAGGCCCTTTGACACGCTTGATTCCTTTATAATCCCAAGACAACAGACCGACCCGATCCTACCCCCCAGCCTGATCAGGATTCAAAATATAAGCTGAGCTTGGATCAATGTAGAAAACACAAAAGCGCTGATAACATTCTGATAAGGTCTTATCCTTTTACTGCCATGCTTATAGATACCGCGTCTAATATACCTATTTTCAACTATGACCCCTCTGCGTCGTCCGTTAGATCACGAGTCCGCATTATACTCATTTCAATCATATGCACATTCTTTTCTAAATCATCTCGTTACTACAGTGAAGGTCATACTGCTTTGAAATCCACTAGAGCTCAGGTTTGGCTTCAATTCATGGGGTGACCTCTGCGGGGAAGCTTCCTCCAATAAAAGATGCTCTTCTTCAACAAGTCGGCTATCCCCCTCTAGATGAAGGAAATG